CCTCCAGAACCGACAGCAGTAGCCTCAGCACCAACACCCTCAGCACCTCCAGCTCGAGTCGCACCCGCCGGCCCAGCAGCTCCAGTACCTCCAGTACGAGCACCTCCGGGACCCGCGGCACCAGCACCCTCAGCAGCCGAAGACCCTCCAGCTCCAGCAGCACACCTCCAGCGCCGCGCAAACCACTCGCGCAGCTCCTGTGGAGAGAGCGGCTCCCGCCGAGACGAAGCACTCGGAGAACCTCCAGGCCCAGCACCGCCAGACGCCAAACGAGCAGGCCCAGCCCCCTCAGGCTCCACACCCCCAGGCTCAGCACCTCCAGACGTAGCACCCCCAGGCTCAGCACCCCAAGGCATAGCACCCCCAGGCTCGACACCCCCAGTCTCAACACCCCCAGTCTCAGCACCCCCAGGCTCAGCACCCCCAGTCTCAGTACCCCCAGGCGTAGCACCCACACGCTCAGCACCCCCAGAGTCAGCACCCCCAGGCTCAGCACCCTCAGCAGCACGAGAGTCACCAGTGACCTTGACAGGCTCGACTGCGTCTACCTGGGACACACCTGAAGGGACTGGACCCTAAGGGGGGAGGGGGTCTACCGAGGGGGAACCTGGTACGGAAAGAGCCGCGGTGGGGGGAGGGACGGAGTGCGGTAGGGGAAGAGGCGGTAGTAGGGGACCGACTCGTCAAACGTGACGTCCTGGGAGGACAAAACACGGCGAGAGGTGGGGTGGTAGAACTGCCACCCTGGTGCGTTAGGGGGGAAGCCAAGGAAGACGCAAGGAGCCGAACGAGGGGACAGCTTGACCGCAGACAAGTCGCGGACAAACGCCCGAGATCCCCAGACACGGAACGCAGACGCATCGCCAACCTTCCCCGTCCACAGCAAGGCTGGGGAGGTCTCCGGCATGGAGACCCTGGGGTGAAGGTTGATCTGATGCTCCGCGTACCGAACCACAAACGGCCACAGAAAATGGGGGGCAGCCGCATGCATCATGGACGTACGGGCGACGTCCATGACTATGCCAATGCGGCGCTCAGCAATCCCATTTTGCTGTGGAGAGTCCGGAAGCGTGAAGGTCCGGCGGATGCCTCGTGCACGACAGTAGGCTCGCAGAAGGCCAAAGGAGAACTCTCCGCCTCTGTCAGAGTGCAGACGCAGAACAGGAAAGTCCGAGCCAAAGCTCTGCCTGAGCTGGAGACGAGCTGCGCGGATCCAGTCGATCAACACCTCAGTGACATCACCCTTGTTGCGCAAGGGGAAGACTGTGGTGTAACGCGAGTAGTGGTCAACCACCAGAAGGAAGTAGCGCTCGTGACCCAGTCCACGGACGCGGGCTGGGCCCCACACGTCCATGTGAAGCGTCTGCAGCGGGGCCTCTGTCGGAGGAAACTCGGAGGAGTGAGGGGCAGCCCGCTGCCGTCCCTCGACACAGGGGACGCAGGTAGGGCCAGGCCCCGGAGGAAGGGGAGGTAGGGAACGGGGAAGACCAGAGACAAGGACACGGGAGGCCTCGGAGACGAAGCAAGGAGGGGTGACCAAGGCGGTGGTGCCAGAGGAGAGTCTCGTGAGACAGGAGGCGACACGAGCAGGGGGCAGACTCAGGACCAGACCTGGACGCTGCAGCAAACACCTGACCCGACGCAGCTACCTGACCAGACGCAGGGACAGGAGGAGACGCAGTGGTCAGTATGTACAGGCTCGACAAGTAAACGTGGCCCGTCCGAGCGTCCGTGCAGTGGGTCACCCGCTGGCTCGCAGGAGTGAACTGGTGAACTCCCCCATCCTGTAGGTCAGCACCACTCACCAGAGGGGAGGTAAAGACCAGACAGGGAGCCAGAGGTAGCCGCCGGACACGGGAGGACAGTGGACAAGTGAGCAAGGACAGGACCCCCAGAGGGATCTGCCAGAGAGACTGCAACTGGCCGACCAAGCGGCGTGAGTATGGTGCGGTCTCGAAAGAAGGAGCGAGAAGCCCCCGAGTCAAGGGTGAAGGTGAGGGAGGCCAAAGCCGACTCGGTACCTGAGAGCGCGGACTCACCAGCACCTGAGGAAGCAGACGCACTAGCACCTAGAGCAGCAGACTCGCTAGCACCTAGAGCAACAGCCTCACTTGTACCTAGAGCAGCAGTCTCAATGCCCGGGTCGGGCGGGAAACACCGGTAACAGTCACCCTCATCACTAATAGTCACAGCATACATGGCAGCAAGAATAGCATCAAAGTCAAGGTCAAAGATAGCTACTCCCGCCCTAGACAGCTCACCCCAGCGGGGGATCTCCGTCGCCTCTTGGAAATGGTGACGCCAAGCGTCCGTCAGGCGGCCAAAGCAGTGCTAGGTGGAGTGCGCACCCCCACACTGCTCACCCGCGCGGTCGCTGGTGCGTAGGACGTAGGTGCACGGACCAGTACCCCCACCCCGCTGGCGTGCAGCGTACCACTCACGGAGCTGCTGAGGGGGGGGGGTGTCACGAGTGCAGTGCTGCTGCTAGCGCTGACCACCACCGGAGCCGACCCTTTGCGCAGCGCCACCCCGACCAGCTCCACCTCCTCCGCCACCGCCTCCGCCACCGCCTCCTCCACCGCCGCCACCTCCGCCACCTCCGCTCCCATCGCCACCGCCGCAGCCACCGACACCTCCACCCTCGCCACCACCCTCACCGCCACCCCCACTCCCTCCGCCGCCTCCACCGCCGCCTCCACCGCCCCCGCTAGCTCCTCCAGCGCCCCTGCCCCCCTTGCCCTTGCCAGGGCGGCGTCTCCCGCTAGGGGTAGACGCCGCACCAACCGACTCAAGCCCAACGAGGTTGGCCGCAGCAGCAGAGGCAACAGAGGGCAAAAGGGGGGAGGGGGAACACCCCTCAAAGATGGGGGTGCGAGGGTCACCACGAGAGGCTCCTACAGCGACTATGCTCTTCTCCGCTGCTAGGAGGGCCTTCTCGAGGAGGTCAACGGTGAGACTGGTGGGGCAGAGAGGAAGTGGTCCGTGACTACGCGAAGGGAGTCAGGGAGGCGGGTGACGATGTAGTAGAGAGTGATGTACATGGGGGGGGGGGGGGGTTCTTGGCGCAGAACTCAGCAGGAAGTGCAGCGTGGTAGCGAGTGTCACTAGAGCGGAGGTGCGTAATGAGGTTAGCGACTATGGGAAAGGCAGCAAGGTCAGGGAAGAGGTATGGTAGCATGAGGCGGCTCAGTGCAGCAGTGGCAAGGGAAGAGTAGCGTGCAACTACAGCGTCGTACAAGGTCTGAGCACTCTTGTATTGGCTAAAGTGCGCACGCTCAGAGGTAGGCAGGTGGCGACGCACAGCAAAACGTGCAGCAACATCGCGTGTGGCCCACTGTGAGCGAATAGTGGCGTCAGCATCAGCAGCAAGGGCAGGAGAGGCACCAGAGGTGAGGTGAAAGAGGGAGAGACCGTCTGCCCTATCGCACTGTAGGAAAAGCTATAGGTCATCTACCCAGACGTTAGAGTCAATGGCCCGACCCTCAGCGTCAAAAGCGAGGACACTAGGGGTAGCCATGACAGCAGTCGACTAGTAGCGCGAAATGTGGGGTAAGGGCAGTGCAGGGACAGAGGCGCTGCTCTTACCGGACAGGGCGGCTCGGCAGGAACTGCAGCTCGGCGGCTCGGCGACTCGGCGGCTCGGGCGGCTCGGGCGGCTCGGCGGCAACTACGGCCCGGCGACTCGGCGGCTCGGGCGGCTCGGGCGGCTCGGTGGTACGGCGGCTCGGGCGGCTCAGGTGGCGCGGCGGTTCGGGCGGCTCGCGTGGCGCTGGCGGCTCGACAGTAGGTCGGCGGGGCCGCGTGAAGGCGGGGCCGGGGCCGAGAAGGGCGGCGTCGGGGCCGCATAGGTAGGCGACGGGGCCAGCAGAGGCGGGGCCGGGTCGGGAAGGGCGGCGTCGGGGCCGGGAAAGGGCGGCGCCGAGGCCGCAAGGTAGGCGACGGGGCCAGCAGAGGCCGGGCCGGGTCGGGAAGGGCGGCGTCGGGGCCGAGAAAAGGCGGCGCCGGGGCCGCGGGGTAGGCGACGGGGCCGCAGAGCGGCGGATCGGGGCCGGGAAGGGCGGCGTCGGGGCCGGGAAGGGCGGCGCCGGGGCCGCAGGTCTAGGCGACGGGGCCAGTAGAGGCAGGGCTGGGCCGGGAAGGGCGTCGTCGGGGCCCGGGAAGGGCAGCGCCGGGGCCGCGGGGTAGGCGACGGGGTCGCTAGGGCGGCAGATCGGGGCCGGGAAGGGCGGCGCCGGGGTCGCAGGAGTAGGCGACGCGTCCGCTAGGGCGGCGGATCGGGGCCGCTAGGGCGGCGGGATGCAGCCGCTAGGGCGGCGCGACGGGATGGGGCCGCGAGGGCGACGCGACGGGGCCTCTAGCGCGACGCGACGGGGCCGCTAAAGCGGCGCGAGAGGGTCGAGAGAGGGGAGCGCGACTCGGGCAGGAACTGAGCGCGCTCCGGGCAAGAAAAAAAAAAATCGAATTGGTGGGCCCTAGGAACAGTTCCCTCAAGGGAACCTGCTCGATACCATGAGAAAACTAGAACAAGAATGAATGCACTATGAAAGAGTTGGGTACAAGTACTAACCCTAATTGGGTTTTACCCCATATGGGCTACCCCACTACAGCCTACACAAAAGCATAAGCTATAATGTTCTGACAGGAACGCAGGTAGGGGCAGGCCCCGGAGGGAGGGGAGGGAGGGACTAGGGGAGACCAGAGACAAGGACACGGGAGGCCATGCCTCGGAGACGAGGCAGGGAGGGGTGACCAAGACGGTGGTGCCAGAGGAGAGTCTGGTGGGACAGGAGACGACACGAGCAGGGAGCAAACTCAGGACCAGACCTGGACGCTGCAGCAAACACCTGACTCGACGCAGCAACGTGACCAGACTCGGCAACCGGAGGAGACTCAGTAGTCAGTGTGTATAGGCTCGACCCCGGCCGACGGGTAAACGTGGCCAAGTGTCGGCCCGTCCGAGCACACGTACAGTGGGTCACCCGCTGACTCGTAAGAGTGAACTAGTCAACCCCCCCATCCTGTAGATCAGCACCACTCACCAAGTTCGTAGAGAACGAGGGGAGGTAGAGACCTGACAGGGTGCCAGAGGGGGCCGCCGGACATGGTAAGACAGTGGAGAAGTGGGCAAGGACAGGACCCCCAGAGGGGTCCGCCAGGGAGACCACAACTCGCCGACTAAGCGGCGTAAGCGTGGTGCGGTCTCGAAAGAAGGAGCGGGAAGCACCCGAGTCAAGGGTGAAGGTGTGTAAGGCCTGAGCCGACGTGGTACCTGAGAGAGCAGACTCATCAGCACCTGGGGCAGCAGACGCACTAGAACCTAGAGCAGCAGCCTCACCAGCACCTAGAGCAGCAGCCTCAATGCCCGGGTCAGGCGGAACACACAGGTAACAGTCACCCTCATCACTAGTAGTCACAGCATACATGGCAGCAAGAATAGCATCATAATCAAGATCAAAGATAGCAAGCCCCGACCTCTATAGCTCTCCCCAGCGAGGGATCTCAGTGGCGTCAGTGAACTGGAGACACCAGGCATCCGTCAGGCAGCCAAAGCAGCGCTGGGTGGGGTGCGGGCCCCCGCACTGCTCACCCGTACGGTCGCCGGTACGCAGGACGTATGTACAGGGACCAGTACCCCCACCCTGCTGACGTGAAGCGAACCACTCAGGAAGCTGCTGGGGGGGCGGGGTCTCACGAGTGCGCTGCTGCTGCTGGCGCTGACCACCACCAAAGCCGCCCCGCTGCGCAGAGCCACCCCGACTAGCTCCACCTCCTCCACCGCTACCTCCGCCACCGCCGCCACCGCCTCCTCCGCTCCCACCACCACCGCCGCCGCCGCCACCGAAGCCCCCACCCCCGCCACCACTCCCACCACCACCCCCACTCCCTCCGCCTCCTCCACCGCCACCTCCACCGCCCCCGCCAGCCCCTCTAGCGCCCTTGCCCCCCTTGCCCTTGCCGGTGCGGCGTCGCCCGCTAGGGGCAGACGTAGCGCCGACCGACTCGGTGCCAACGAAGTTGACGGCAGCAGCAGAGGCAACAGAAGGCAAAAGGGGGGAGGGGGAGCACCCCTCAAAGACAAGGGCACGAGGGTCACCTCGAGAGGCTCCTACAGCGACTATACTCTTCTCAGCTGCCAGGAGGCGCTCCTCGAGGAGGTCAACGGTGAGTGTGGTGGGGCAAACAGAGAGGAAGTGGTCCCTGACCGAGCGAAGGGAGTCAGGGAGCCGGGTGACTATGTAGTAGAGGGTGATGTACATGGGGGGCGGGGGGAGGGGGTTCTTGGCACAGAACTCAGCAGGAAGCGCAGCGCGGTATCGGGTGTCATTAGTGCGAATGTGCGTAACGAGGTTAGCGACAGTGGGAAAGGCGGCGAGGTCAGGAAACAGGTACGGCAGCATGAGGCGGCTAAGGGCAGCAGTGGCAGGGGAAGAGTAGCGTGCAACTACAGCATCGTACAAGGTCTTAGCACTCTTGTACTGAGTAAAATGCGCGCGCTCAGTGGACGGCAAGTGACTACGCACAGCAAGACGGGTAGCAGCATCCCGTGTGGCCCACTGTGAGCGAACAGTGCTGTCAGCATCGGCAGCAGGGGCATTAGAGGCGCGAGACGTGAGATCGAACAGGGAGAGACCGTCTGCCCTTTCGCACTGTAAGAAAAGCTGTAGATCATCGACCCAGACCTCAAAGTCAACAGCCCGACCCTCAGCATCAAAGACTAGAACACTGGGGGTAGCCATGACAGCAGTGGCAGCAGGCTAGGGGCAGCAGTAGCAGGCGTGGCTCGGCAGTGCTCTCACCAGGGCTGGTAGGTAGGGGGCGGCAAGCGGTGGGGCAGGGCCGAGGCGCGTCGACAGGGAATGAGCCGCGACCGCGGCGGCACCTCCTGCTGTCGGCGGCGACGGTTGCTGCTGGTGGTGGCCGCCGCTGGTGTCGGCGGCTTCTGCTGCTGTCGGCTGCTGCTGGTGGCGGGTGCTGCTAGCGGCGGCTGCTGTTGGTGGCGGAGGAGCCGAGGAGGGGCCGGGAAGGGTGGCGACGGGGCCACGAAGGGCGGCGACGGGGCCGAGAAGAGGCCGCGAGGGGCCGTGAAGGGCGGCGACGGGGCCGCTAGAGGCGGCGACGGGGCCGCGAAGGGTGGCGACGGGGCCGCTAGAGGTGGCGACGGGGCCGCGAAGGGCGGCGACGGGGCCGCTAGGGGCGGCGACGGGGCCGCGAAGGGCGGCGACGGGGCCGCGAAGGGCGGCGACGGGGCCGATAGGGGCGGCGACGGGGCCGGTAGGGGCGGCGACGGGGCCGCAAAGGGGCCGCGAGGGGCCTCGAAGGGCAGCGACGGGGCCGCTAGGGGCGGCGACGGGGCCGCGAAGGGGCCGCGAGGGGCCTAGAAGGGCGGCGACGGGGCCGCAAAGGACGGCGACGGGGCCGTATAGGGTGGCGACGGGGCCGCTAGGTGTGGCGATGGGGCCGCTAAGGGTGGCGCGAGGGGCCGTGAGAGGGGCCTCTAGGAGGGCGCGACAGGCTGCTAAGGGCAGGGGACGCGACGAGAGGGCGGCCCACGGGGCGCGCCTCGGGCAGGGGCGACTCGCGCTCCGGTCAGGAAAAAACAAAATTTCGATTTCAGTGGTGGGCCCTAAGAAGCGTTCCCACTAGGGAACCTGCTCTATACCATGTGAAGAAATGAGGAATGAAATTACTAAGGAAAATGTGGGTACAAGTAGGAAACCTAGAAATGTTGTACCCTATAGTGTCTACCCCACTACAGCCTAGATAGACCATAGCATATAAGTTTGACACAAGATTGAGGCGTTGGATGGCTCCAACTACGAGGAATGGAGCGGGCGGATGAGAAGCGTCTTCAAGCGCTACAAGCTGCTGAAACTTGCGATGGGAGAAGAGAAGATGCACGAGGAAGGAGATGCTCGGGATCGGTGGATTGAGCGGAGCGCGGTGTTGTTCGACCTCATCTTGCAATCGGTCAACAACGACATGCTTTAGCAGATCAAGGACTTGGTTGAGTTGGACGACTCCGGTCCAAAGGCGTGGAAGCTATTGCGCGACGTCATTCAGCCCAACACGCTGCCCATGGTGATCGTGCTCGAGAAGGAGCTGGCGGCCATCTCCATGCGATAGGGAGATGATGTAAAGCTGGTCCTTGACAAGATCAAGGACACATATGCGAGGATGGCAGCGGCGGGCAGCGAGGTGTCGCAGATGCAGCAATGCACCAAGATCATCTCGGTGCTCGACAACTCGTGGGACAACCTCATCCCCACCCTCAACGTTCAGCAGGACAAGTGGACGCTAGAGTGGCTACGGCAGCAGATCTTGTAGGACGACTTCCGCAGGCGCCACATGGGAGGAGGTGCTGCCAACAAAACTGCTGAGGGGTATGGAGCTGCAGGAGGCAGTAGAGGAAGAGGGGGAGGGAGAGGCCGAGGCCGTGGGAGAGGCTTTGGCAGAGGGAGAGGCCGACATGACTACAATGAGGGTCATGGGAGCTCTGGTTGCGGAGATAACTACTACAACGGGAGCTAGACTACGGGCTAGGCACGGGTGCTCGTGTGATCTCTGCGTTCGTTGGTCCTTAGTCGTATTCCTAGTTCACACACTGCTTGCTAGTTCACGGGGTAATTTTGGCAAGAGTTTCACTAGAGAAAGTTGACAACAATGGTACAAATCAGTCAGCATGGCAAGACTACACCAGAGCTAGCATTCAGGTCGGTCGACTGCCAGCACAGCATGGTCGACCGCGCTCCAGCAGTGCAAAGTCGACGGCGTGCCAACGCTGCAGGTTGACGGCGTGCCAGCGTTGCTCCCGCAGAACAGCAGCGCACCTACTTCGCAGGTGCTTGTAGATGATTGGCGGGCTAAGCCTCGTCACCTAAACAGCGCACGCACCAAGTCATCCTCGTGCTGACGGCTCCACCTGATCTGCCACGTTGACCTCGGGATACCACCACCGAGGTCGGACTCGCCAACTTCGCATGGGCGACTGTCGCACTCCTTTGCAGAACCTCGTCACCCAGGTATCCCGGTCGGCCAGCTCCACATCGACCAGCGCAGTTGTCAGCCGACCACCCAAGTCGGCTACCCGAAGTCGGCGTCACCAAGTCGACGCCCCTTCTACGTCGGCGCCAACTTCCAGACCGACCTCTTGAAGTCGGCGACCTCCCAAGTCGGTGACCTTGCAAGTCGATGCCAACTTCCAGGTCAACGTGCCACATCGCCGACCACCAGTAAAAGTCGGCGGCATTGCAGTGGCCCTGTGCAAGTCGACCAACCCCGTCGACCAGCTCACCCAAGTTGGCGTCGCCCACTGCTGCAAGTCGGCTGTACCTCCCGTACATCCAACCACAAAGTCGGCTCCGCCCAAGCGAGGACGGGGCCAACAACAACTCCCGTTGACACTCCCCTACCGCGTTCACGCTTGGGCCCTCTGCCCATACGGCATCACTGCTCGGAAAACAGCTCGTCGGCGTGCACCCAACATACAGCACGCCGATCACCGCACCAGCCATGCAGGAGGGCATGGCACCTACTGCTGCACATCGTTGTCCCCGTCGCCCACGTCGACCAAGCGCACCTGGCCAATGGCAACGGAGCACCGGTTGAAGGCCGGATAGTGCAGCGCCTTCGTCAGGAAGTCGGTTGGCTGGTCAGCGGTCGAGATGTATTTCAGTGAAAACTTCCCACGCTTCACCATGTGCTGCAGCCAGGCCTGTCGCCGCTCCATGTGCTTGAGGTTGCCCGTCAACCCCATGCCCACAGCGACCGTGATGGCTGACTTGTTGTCCACCCGGAGGACAGTCGGCTTCCCGGCATCGAGCTGCCGGAACTCGGCGAGGAGGAAGCAAATTCGGCGTCCCTCCTTGCCGGCTTCGATGGCCGCCACGTACTTCGACTCGGTCGACGACATCGTCGCGCACTTGATGCGCTGGCTCGACCAGGAGACTGCGGCCCCTCCGTAGATGAACACGTAGCCGCCCGTGCTCGTCCTGTTTTGCTTGTCATCGGCATCGTCGGCGTCCACGTAGCCGACCAGCTCCAGCGACTCAGGTCCACCGCCGAACTCTAGGGCGGTGTCACGCGTGTTGGCGAGGTAGGCGAGGCAGCGGTCGACCTCTCGCCAGTGCTGGTCGCTCCTCACCGTGAGGCCGCTCCCCAGCTTGCTGCAGGCGAAGGCGATGTCCGGCCTCGTCGTCGTTGCCGCGAACTGCAGCGAGCCGACCTTCTGTCGGTACTCCTCCTCCTGTCGCTCCTGTGCCTCCATGTCGTCGAAGGTGAGGTCGGCATAGGCGTCGACTGAGACCGGCTCCGGTGCACCCGATCTGCTCCTCGTCGACGAAGCACCTACGCAGCTTGTCGGCGTAGCCGTGCTGGTGCAGCCACAGCTTCCCCGCTGACCTGTCGCGGACGATCTCCATCCCGAGGTACTTCTGCACCGGCGAGATCTCACGCAGCTCGAAGGCGGACTCCAGCAGCCCCTTCAGCTCCTTCAGCATCTCGGTGCTGCTACTGGCGGCGAGCAGGTCGTCGACGTAAACCAGCACCTAGCAGGCCACTCCGTCGTCGCTGACCTTGAAGTACAGAGCCTCGTTGACCTGGCTCTTCTTCCACCTGGCGCCGACCAATACGTCGTTGAGCGCCAAGTACCACAGCAGCGGCGACTACTTCAGGCGGTACAGGCTCTTCAGCAGCTTGCACACCCGGCCGGTTCCGTCATTGAAGTAATCCGGCTGGGACATGTAGAGCACCCTGTCGAGCTTGCTCTACAGCAAGGCGTTCTTCATGTCGAGCTGCATCAGGTTGAGGTTGAGGACGGCAACGATGCTGAGGAAGATCCTCAGCGTGACGTAGCTGCCCACCGGCGCAAACGTCTCGTCGTAGTCGGCGCCGTACACCTGCGTGAAGCCCTTAACAACCAGCCTCACCTTCTCGCACTCGACGGTGTCGTCGATGTGGTACTTCGTCGTCAGCACCCACCGGTTCTTCATGATGTTCACTCCCGGCGGGCGCTCAACCAGCTCCCAAGTCCCCATGTTGATGAGGCTGCGGATCTCCTCCTCCATGGCGGCCTTCACCGCCGGGCCCTTCCAGCTCGCCAACGCCTCCTTCACCGTCATGGTCGAGATGTCCTAGCGGTGCTCGGGGTCGGCATGCATGTCGGGGTTGAGCTCCGGAAACTCCTCATCCTCCTCGGCGTCGTCATATGCCAGGTCGTCGTCGTCCATGTCATACACCGTGGTGAAGGCAGCGGGGACGAAGAAGTCGGGTGGCCTCCGAAGTCGGCCTGACTTCCGGGGTTCAGGCGGAATCTCCACCACGTCACTCTTGGTGGACTCCTCGGCGTCCTCCCCCTCGTCGTCCTGCTGCAGCTCAGTCGACTTCCTGGCCGACTTCCCCCCCCTGGTCGGCTCCCCTGCTGACTGCCCGGTTGCCGACTGCTCCGTGGTCGGCTTCACTACTGCCTGCTCCCCTGTCGGCTGCTTCTCCTTGACTTGCTCCTCCCTTAGCAACGTCGACTGCACTCCCACGTCAACTTGCTGCTCCTTACGTCGGCCACCAGCGATGCTCTTGGCCGGCGCCGAAGGCGATGTTTCACTACTCCCCTCATCGCCGGAGGCCGACACCGAGGTCAGCTCACGCAGTTCGGCAAGGAGGGGAGGGGCAGGGGTCGGAGAGGGGGGGGAGGGAGGACGGACGTCCTCGACGTCCTCAATAGCAAGCTCACCGACCTCGGCAA